GATCGTGTGGAAACGTGTCTCTAGGAAACCCCGTTATCACTGAAGGTCGACACTTTTTCCCTCTTCGTAACGCAAATAGTAAAACCAAATACTAAATACACACGAAACGTTCGCTGGTTATCTCTGATGACGCATATCACGAAATTTAATCGTTCTTTCGATACTCCACCTATGAGAATCTCTCCAATCTATCATTTTTGACAATTTGCCTGTACAGTGATTATTTTCTGGAATAGAAACGTATTCCCCTTTTTTTATTTTGCGACGACGATAGGGAGGAAATATGTTACGGGAAATTAGACTTTATTGTGGAATATCACGTCCTTTAGGAAGGAAAATGCTGATGATCACTGGGATTTTCATTGAAAGTTGCTTTAATTTGGAATCTGGAGCGGACGATTTGAAAAATATGTTTCGGGGTTATTTGACAATTTGGTAATTACGTGCATTAAAAATTGGAGGGTTGATTTTAGAGAGTCGATACGAATGTCTGAGCTTCGTGTGACCTATTCTGAGCCTATTTAACCCTAGTGCGTTCTTCGGGTCTTTTTTGACCCACTGCCTTCTTATATTTTCAATCATTTTTGCTGTTATCAAGTTCATGTTCCCTTAACATCGTGTCAAAAATTTGGGTCCTTTTTGACCCAAAGTCGAACGAAAAAACACACAAATAGAACGCATAAAAAAATATCCTACCCAGAACGACAAATAAAACTGTACAATTTCGCACCTAAAAACCCCGTCGAATTTACCTAAAAATACTTATGCACTTCTCTTTCGCAAATTGAACGAGTGAAAAATGAAAAACGACTCGTTCCTTCGTTAAATTTTCTTTTAAATCTGACTAGGAGAGTGAACCATCTGGCGGGAAATTTAAGGTAACGTAAATTGCTTCTGAAAAACAGAGGCTGCATGCAAGACACGGGTGAACAAAACCGCGAGCGCGTGCACAGTGTGGCGTGTGTGCCCGCCGATGTGTTTGTAAAAATAAGTAAACATACTCCATCACGCAGGTCGCTTGAGTATATTGAAGTTAACGTGACGGTAAGCATGAACAAAATTTCATTTGCCGCAATACTCGCATCACGGAGGATAAAGCAATTGGACCCGGAAGTTTACGTGCTTACAAAAATGAAACCGTGGCCTCGTTAATAACACCAATTATATCTTCGTAATTGTTAATGAAAAAAAAGAAGAAAAAAAAACAGTAGGTACACGCTCGTGCGTTTCCTCTCTTTGTTTTAACACGTTGCATTACCGTTTTCTGATATAACGGTGACATTTCTATAGAGGCATGTGAAATAGTGGCATATTTTGTAATAGGATTAAGAGAAGAAGTTAAGTGCTGGACGTTGTTGAAAATTTGATTTAGTAAATTTTGGAGATTTCGGTAGAGTTTGGTGGAGTTTAGGAGATTTCAGTGGACTTTAGTAAAATTCAGCAGGTTTCAAAAGTTTTCAGGAGATTTTAAGAGAGAATTTAATTGGTAGACATTATTAAAAATTTTATTTTGTAAAATTCAGCAGATTTGAGTAGACTTTCGTAGATTTTAGTACAATTCTGCAGAATTCAGTAGATTTTCGTAGACTTCGGTGAAATTCAGCAAATTTCAAGAGATTCCAACAAATATTAGTACAATTCAATTTCAAGAAATTTCAATAAATCACGGTAGATATCAACAGAGTTCACAAAATTCCAACAAACTCCAGTAAAATTCCGTAAATTTCAGCAAGTGTCCCAAGACTCACAAACAGCCACTACACATATCTACACAGTTTTCATACATGCACTATACATATTAGCACCGTGACAGATGCCTCGAAAGAAATTATTACGCAATTTCTAGCACCAACACAGCTCATCCCAGCCGGCTTCTATCTAAATGAGATAAGTGGGAAAAACCGAATGAAATGCTGCATCCGCGAGAGAATTTTCTACCCGCGTAAAGAATGCAGAAAAATGGGCGTTATCGTTTGAAAACATGCCCTGTAAGCGGATTCAATTGTTCCAAGTGCACGGTTCTAAGAATATTGTCTTCACCGCTGACAATAGAGAATGCGCGCAGTTCTCATCTAAAGATTAGCCTCCGTAACAATAAAACACGGAACAGCTCGATCTCGAAATTTATACGATTTAGCTAACGAACTGATAGATACACAAGTGAAATCTTCGTTTCAAGCCCCGTTCTTTCTTCCTTTCTTCTTTTTCTCTCCTCCTACTATTTCCATCACGGGACAACTGTGGAAGTTGCGATTACCTACAGAATTGAAACGACCGTTCGAGTTTTGTTTCATTCCATGTTTCATTCCACTGAATCGTGCAGCTCATATTCAACTTTCACGATCGAACGAGAACTGACGCGGAAAACGGAGATAGGGACGAGCCTCGATGAAAACTATTTAGGCAGAAAGGCGATTCTCGCTCGAAGGTTAATTTCCGTCTGGTACGGCGACGTGAAGTAACGATCTTTTCGTCATTTTGCCGACGAAAGGCGTAACCCCTCCGAGGTTCCTATAATTTACAACAAACTGCAGAAGAGGGGCAACGGGGAGAAAGGGAAAAAAAAAATAAGATCGACATGTAAATTAACGAACTTCCACCACGTCGATTCGTCAAACTTCCCTCGACATCGCAATAACCCATAAAGTAGTTAAAAAGCGACCCAGTTCTAAAGCTGCTTTGGCGGAAATAAAAATTGCGAGGAAATAGTGCAGCATTTTTATTAAATGCGCAGGGATAATTCTACGCCCTCGTTTCGACGTCGAGAATTTCGTTATTAGGATACTGCGAATGCAAACATTTTTGTCCTGCAAAATTCCACTCGGCCCGTTATTTGAAAAACAAGAACCGCCAATTTGACAAAAAAGTGACAAATTCGGTTACTCGAAGAAACGAATAAATGCGACGATGTGTTTTGAATTAATGCCGCATGTGATCGTAAACGATTTAAGATATTTCGTTCAATTTTTGTAATATGAATGTAAAACGTGAATGTTCGTTCAATTTTTGTAATACGTGGTAATATAAAAAGCTACAACAAAAGTAAATATCAAATAAAAAATTACAGAGTAGAGAAGTGTCGACTGAAAATGTTGGAACAGATTGTCAACATGTCGTTGGAAAATTCGCGGGAAATTATCGCAACACAGTGCAGATTGCATAAAAAAGAAGAATCTCGAGATAGTAGGTAAAAAATTGTCGTTGCTTTATAAAGAGACGTAGAAAATGTTCCTCGCCGTACGCGTCTAGCCAGGCAATATTACACGTCACGGGAAAAGATGAGCTTCGCATGATTGAGACTCGCTTCTTGGGATCTTCACACTTTGATCGCGAAAACCACGAAGATTTCTAGCCGTGATATCAAGACCGATCTGAAACCAATCTGTACGCGGGATAAGCGCTGATTCGTCGTATGATTTCGAAACTCGAAGACGTGTTACAGCTGTGTGTATACAGCGACGTTATAATACAGGTAAATTGAACGCAACGCGTATTTGCTTACACGGCAGAAACAAAAATTGCGAAACGGGAAAAGAAGCAAAGGCTGATTCGACTTGCGAGGCAAAACTTTCGATCGTGGAAAAAAAATTCCACGAACAATAATTCGTTTCCTCTGTGTGTGTGTGTGTGTGTGAAATTAACGAAAATTTCGACGTTCCACGGTATACTACTCGTCTCGGCATAATAAACTCGCGACAGATTTCATTCTTGAGCATTTTTCTCCTCTCTTTGATTTACAGAGATTGCTAATTGAAGTGCAGATAGAAGAACGTTCGCCGTTTGCTTGTTTGAATATTTTTTTTCGAGTGCTTGCACAAAGATAGATCTACGAAGAGCTCGTCTTGTTACCATTTTCCATTAATTATATCTCGACTTATGCAATCGAGTCTGAGAAACTGAAGATCGCAGAAGAAAAAAAAAAAAGGAGCACGGTTACGGTAAGTACTTTACATCACGAATTAATTATCCGTGAGAGAAAAATTACCAACGAGCGTGCCACTTGTTTACCTATCGATAATGCAACAACAGTGATACGAGCAAAAATCGAATAGAATGTTGTTAATTATATTATTATACGCAGCTGACACGTGACTGCCCTGATCTAAGATAAACTATCGATCACGAAAATCCGTCAGATTGGACAATCTGCAAGTTTGAACAGAGATGAGATAGTAAGTGTAGCAGCATTGTTCGAATGCCAAGATAAAAGTCGAAAATGAAAGATCGTATAAAGAAACCGGATCACGTAATTTAGGTCAGATACATATGCAGCGCTAAACCCTGACCTTTGCAGATACCGTACTCGAGATCCTTGAAACTCTCTTGTCTACGAATTATTCGCAAGTATTATACAGATCTTTCAGAATGAATTGCATCACGTTGCTTCTTTTTCTTTTGCAACAATATCAATATACATTTAATGAATCACCGGAGCGAAGAATAATCCTCGCCTGTACTTCCCTGTTTCACGCTTTGTCATTTCGCGCATGCACACACGTGCGTCACCGTGCGGCAGATCTTTTTGTCAATCATGTTTTAATCAAAAATTAATGTCAGAGAAGGGAACACGGTACCGAGCGTCGCGTCTCATGATTTATGAATCAACGGTACACCGAGCGTTATTCGATAAATGCTAATAATTCCAGGATACACAGAGCAGTGTAATACTATGGAAATAGATCGAGTAGAGTTACAAAAAGTTTCTGCATTTATACCGACATGAATCGAATCTCTCGATCACGTTTTCGTTACAGAAAAATTCATTCTTAGAGAATCGCTAACGGACCATTTTTCACCCTAATTCTTCACTTTCAAATAAAGTAGGTTGCAAAATTAACGGAACATTTTACTTGTCATTCTGACCAGAGTCGTAGAAATTTTAGTATTTTCAGATAAATTAATTTGAATTGACTATATTTCTCGAATTATCCTGGAACTATCGTAGATTTCGAAGAAGACCTAGAGAAGAAGAAAAAAAAAGAAAGGGAAGGTGTTCTTACCTTATCGAGATATTGAAATCCATGTTCCTGCGCGACCTGCTGGGCCACTTCCGGTCCTCCCCCGATGTGCACTGCCCACTGATTCGTATAGGCTGCCACTCGTCCACCCAGAGTCACCAGCGCGACGATGGCCAGTCCGAAAATCCTCTGCGGGCACATGATAGCTCTGCCTCTCGACTGCAACTGCTACCACTAGCGGCTCCAGTTTCACACTCGACACTATTATCCACTATCCACCAAAACCGCCACTGCTACCGGCGGAGGAGGCAGCGAAGATAACAAGAACAACGACAACAAACAACGGCACCAGCACAGCCACCACGATCAACACGGCCCACTTATCTACCTATCGCACTACACGATAGAAACAAACCTATTGTAGCGAAACGCCCAACGAGAAACGATAATAGACAAGATGATAGAGAGAGAGAGAGAGAGAGAAAGACAGAAAAAGATAGAGAGATAAAGATAGAGGTAGAGAGAGAAAAAAGGTAAGATACAACAGAGTGCCTCGCACCTGCAGACCGACTGCCGCCAACTGAACCACCAGCGACCTATGTCACTCGTTAAGTAGCCTCTACACCGCGCGCCGATGACTACTACTCTCTGCCCGCGTTCTTCTTTCCACCACGTCCAGGTCGTCGTCGTCGTGGTCGTGGTCGTTGGTGTCGTCGGTCGTCGTCGCCGTTGTCGTTGGTTGTCGTTCCCTCGTCGGTGACGTTCCTGCTGCCACTGTCGCCCGCCTTCGCTCAACCGAACGAACAGCGGTAGGTGGGGCGATCGTCAAGTCATGTGGCCGTTGTTGGTGGGATAACCGACGTGATCCTCGTGATACCAATAATCGGTCGCGGTTCGCGTACGCGATGCACGTGGCCTCTCTGTTCTCTGGATCAAGGCCGATGGTCTACGTCCAACTGACGTTCCGCGTTCACCGTCCACTTTGCCTTCATCCGCGCCTCGTGAGTCCCAACCTCTGGCAGAAAGTGGGCACTTAACTGTTCGATGTTAAAAAAGTAACCCACCTTCCACTTCGTTTCGCTTCGCTCCGACTACTGCTACCACCACTACCACACTACTACTCCCTTCTACTTCGCCTTCAGCTGGAAGAAACTTCTTGATTACGTGGATCGACAACGACCTTCGACAAGCTGTTGTTCCAAAGAGCCGCTACTACTCGCTCTCTTACTCGCTTCCCTGTTCCCGCCTTCTTCCTCACCCCGCTTCACTCTCTTCTTCATCTATCTTCAGCGAGACTCGTGGGATTCGTACGTGGTGGGAGGCAACAGAACACACGCCGATCGAACCCGCGATGATCGACGAGCGGGGAGGGAAAAAATGTCCGTGGAGACGACGATGGGATCACTGACTTTCTCAACCGTAAGGCGAACACAGCGTTCGAGAATACCGAACCGATGGAAACACGGAATCGACAAGTATTTCGGGCGTAGAACCGGCGAACCGTAGAGCTTCTTATCGTTCGTACAATGTCACGGAGGAAACGTACTTAGACGTGGAGCATCCAACACCGTGGCAAGACAATCCTCCGACAGTAGCCAAATAGTTGGCCAGCCATTCAGCCAGCGTCGCGGCACGCAGTTATCGACCGAAAACTCGGTCGATTCACGTCATCGACCGCTGCATCCTCACTGCTAGATGCATACCTAGGAAAATTCGTCGATGACGCGGCCTAGTGCGAGTGCCCAGCCTCTCTCTTTCTTTCTCTCTCTCTCTCTCTCTTTGTTCTTCCTTCGCGTTCCGCTTTAACTCATCCTTCTTCGTTCGTCACTAGCCCAGCCGCGATCTGAAAACCATTTTGGGAATCGTGGGTCAGATATTCTGATAATTTAGGACATGGGAGAGTAAGAGTGTCGTCAATTACCGAACCACTGACACGTCTCACGCGGAATTAAGTTAGACCACCTCTGAGGTTTGGAGAAATCGTATAATTGTAAATTAAATCATTCAAATTAATCGCACCGGTACTTCGAATGACCGGTTATAAAATAAAGACCGTATGAAAACAACACAGAAAATAGCCTTTAGATAGTAATAAAAAAAAATTACGTATCAAATTTAAAAAACCTTAATAAGCCGTTATGAAAAATTTTCAATTGACTCGATTACCTTCTTAAAGAAAAAATTTCAAAGTTAGGTATCATTCTCAGACCTCAGAGGAGATCTAGCTCCTCGAAACAACTTTTACACGAAGATCGTTCATTTTTTTTCAAACATATCAATTTAGAACTGAACAGTGGAACAGTTATTAACGAAATATATATCGTTTCACCGATTTCACTCAGCTTTTCCGAGCGTCACATATTCGAAAGAGAAGCCATTGAGACATAATTAAAAAAAATTCCAAAATGAACGAACCAACAATTCATTCCACGAAGAGCAATTACTCCGAGGCGAAATAAACCCGGTCATTTGCCATTCCATTTCCGTTGCGGAAAAGTATTCCCATAAAATAGCACTAGCCACGATCAAGCTTTAATTATGGTCCACCGAGGTAAACGTGAATACCTAAGACATAAACGTGAAACCATTGTTTGCATATCAATGGAGACGTAACTAATGTCCAGCGAGCGCAGCAGCGTCCATCTCTCTGATTAGATTTTAATTGCTATAGTTTAACACGCGAAGCTAAACGTGGATACATTATCTCTACGATTATTCGTAGTTACGATAAACTGTTTAATAAAATCGTCCATCTTATTGCACAGACAAATTCTACTTGGATTTTTGTGATAACGAAGCGATCGAAGGATTTCTCGTTAGTTTTCGGTGGGTTTCGTGTTTTCATCGGCTACCTTCACGCAACTTGCATCATCTTCATGGTCGAAGAGTGCTCGAACGAGTCAGATTTTCAAATGAAAAGAAACAGGATCGATACACGTTGAAATGGTTACACGGCATACTGGGAAAATTGCATTCAGTGTGTAACTCGACCTGATTTCCTTCGTATGAGCGATTTACTAAGGAAATGTGATTTTTCATTCTTCGTTTTTTTTTCTTTCCTTTATTTTCAACAAGCCTGACAAGCTACCGATGTGTGTCTCGCGCGTTTCAGAAAGAGTTTGTTTAAGTATTGTTCGAAATGACACTGCACAGTTTTCTTTCGGCGTCTTTGAACGAATACAGACGAACTGAAGGAATAACTTTGTAATTGAACTGTTGAAACGTGTGATACTAAAAAACCTGTTGTTCTTCCGGGTAATAACTATGAAAATTATGAAATAAAAATTCTCAGGGAAAGAACCTCGTTTAAAAATTAGAATATGCGAATAAAAGTGATACAATTTATTTCACTCTAAATTTGTAATATCCGTATCAATTAACGTTATTCAAAAGCTTCTCTATTAAGTCAAAAATATGGAAAAGTATTTCTTTCGGAAACGTTGCTGATGTATTTTCTTAATTAACGCGAAGCATTACCGGAATTACAAAATTCGTGTTACTCTTCGGGGTAACAATTACGAAATTATGAAATAAAAATTCTCAAGGAAAGAGCCTCGTCTAAAAATTCAAATATGCGAATAAAAGTGATACAATTTACGTTACTCTAAATTTGTAGTATGAATATAACGTTACTCAAAGGGTTCTCGATTAAATGAAAAGTATAGAAAAGTATTTCTTTCGAAAACATTACTAACGCATTTTTTCAAGTATCAAGAAGAATCAGAATTACACAATTTACGTTAAAATCGCGTGAAAAAATTTGAACAATGAAATTTCACGCGAAGTACAGAGGAACACACATCAGTCGTTCGGGACAGTTGCGATTCTTTGGAACGGTAACCGCGTTCCCTGAGGAAATTGCACTCCTGATGTAACATTGATCCCAATTTCTCTTTTTGGAGCGAGCTCTTACGCGGTGGAACATAACTTTTCGTCAACGTGATGCATTTTCTTGAATACAATTCTCGAAGCCGTGCTCGATACGCGATTTTTCGCCTTCGAATCTTACGAAATCTAACCAAACTAATATTTCCACTAGGAGAGATTTATATATTAAACAAGTATCAAGAAACCTCAAATATTCGTATATCCAAATATGTAACTCTTCACAATTTCTCTCTCTCTTCTATCTTTTTTTATCAAAAGAAGAATTTACTAAAATACCTTCACTCGATGTTCCCTTTGAACAGAAACCATACTTCACATCGTTCCACGATCTTCGCGTACCTGAATTGCCTATTAATCATGCATACAACCTCTTCCTGTCGAATAGCAACCGGATTTCGAGTTTCTATTCAATGCTTCTCCAGCCGAAATTGCAATTAATCGTCATATACATTCCACGGAGCGTAAAATATAGGATATCTGCGTGTCCTCTTTTTGCCTTTGCAAAAACCAACGCGGTGTACAAGATTATTAACGTGATCAAGATGCAGCGTAGCAACTTTTTTTACTAAAAAATTAGTAGACGTAAAGAGGAAATTATTGATGGAGATATTTTATTTAATCAAGAAAATTCATCTTTAGAACTGCCAATACTGATATTAAAGCTTGATCGATTTGCAATTTTTATCTTCTTAAAGAGTCTGAGGCACTTAAAATAGGTAAATTTGAGGGATTTTTTTCAAAATTATCGACCACGATATTTTATTTAATCATAGAAAATTCGTCGTTCGAACTTTCAATATTAATACTCAAGCTTGAATTAATTTACAATTTTTATTTCCTTAAAGAGTCTGAGGCGTCCAAAAATAGGTACACTTTGGGAATTTTTTTCACAGGTAACTACTGAACGAAAAATGTCAATATTTTCACAGAATATAAACGCAACTTTCAGCTGTTTTCCCCGATTTTTAGAAAGTAGAAATATTGGAAAATACTGTGAATGAAAAATTTGCAAAATCTTCGTACAAGACACATTTACCGCGTTATTCGCCATGTCAGAAAATACAGGAGACTCTATTCGTAGCTAATTCTTCTCATGGACGATTCTTCGAGGGTTCGGTATTCAAGGCGTACCGTTCTCAGCAATTCCACGGTTTCAAAGAACGTAATGGAAACGACTATCGTACCATATTATCGATGCATTTTAAAGGTCGCTGGGTTTCGTGAAAACGGAGTCGATTTTCAAGCTGCGGTCCGCCTGGTTACAATTCGATAGGACGTTTACACCGCGATCAAGTGAAATTGCGTTTGCGATATTCGTTTCCTCGAGTCGGTAAATTTTACAGGTCTATTTTAAACGTGGCAATATGGGCCACAGATTGCAAGTAGTGCAAACATTTTCCTCGTAGAGCAAACCTCTCCTAGCTGGAGGCAAACTTTTCTGATAAATTGCGAGAAAGAGACAAAAATTCAGACTGTTTCGTTCGAATTATTACTACCTTTGCTTCTTTATTCAAATTTCCTCCAAGCTAAAGGGACTGAAATATTTTTTTCATTTGTGTATTTAGGATCTCAGACGAAGTCTACTTTGGCTGTACGTAAATGTATGTACTGTACAAATTGAATTTTTAAGTTAAAAGTTTTTAAAATAATTTAGATCCAAATGCAGCAATATTTGGCGAGGAGATTAAAATTTCTATACTTAACTGAAAAATGAATGCAATTGAAGTGAAAATTGAATGCAGTCAATTATAGATTAATTCGTTAAATTTTTATACCTGCAATTTAAAAAAAATACAAAAATAGATTATTTAATATAGAATAAGAATGTGTGGTGCTCCTATAATTGAGAATTTGACGAAGAAATGTATCCACAGCTTAAGATAAATTCAGCTGAATTAAAAATGAAGTAAATTTCAAATTTTCGTAAAAATTAGGATTATCAATATCCTTGTTAATAAAAAGTGTCTGCAAATTCTGAAGAAAATATTAAACGTATGAAATCATCCTATTGTTGCCTTTAAATAAAACTATCTTTTCGCATGCCTGTCCTGAATTCTACTTGGTGTTATTGCACGCGGCGAAGAAACGCAAAGAAAAACTGAAGATTCGCATTATTGTCACGTTCAAGCGGCGTTCCACGCGATTCAACTTCCGGGGAGAGGATATTGGTGGCTCTACAGATACACAACTTCGTGAAAGCTCTATTTTAAGTCCGAAACAAGTTACATTTCCTACCTAACTGGATCCTGCTATCTCATCCGCCAAAACAGATATACAACTTTATATTTTGCTAAAATCAAACAGTCGATTTTTCCTCCGGACCGATCAAAATAGCAATTAAAAATACATTTATCAACTAAAAATAAAATTTCAATAGTTACACAAAATCTGAAGATAAACTCTTGATAATTTCGTAAAATTCTCATTGAAGTATGTTCATTTCTAGTAAAAATATTTAACTGTCTGCGTTTCTATCTGCACGAACCAGATATTCGAAAAATTATTAAAATATGCATATCTTCTGAAAAATGCACACACAGCTACTCTAACACGGATTCACTTCGCGAATGAAGGTTAAGGTCGGTGCTGACGATTGAAAGTACGAATTATTAAATCCGGGGGAAGATCGATTTTGGCAATGAACACATCTTCCCCGATACTCCACAAACC